TTCTTTGTTGACAGAATCAATCTTCTTCCTAACCAAAGCAACTTCTTTCCTCATGGGATCAGCTAAACCTTCAAGTTCCTGAAATGCAATTTAACCACTGAGCTTCTTAGTCATCAACATAAGATCACCCAGAAAAAAGCAAATTGTTCTTTTCATAGAAAGGAAAGAGCTTTGATCCACAGAGCTAATCTCTATCAAGTAGTGCTATAAATGTAGAAACTTTCACTGTTCTGCCCATAAATTGAGGAAAAAAAGCACTAAAACCAGAGACTAATTCAGGATTCATGAACTTTAACATCACCCAGAAGAAGCAAATGATTCTTTTCACAAAAACTTAATCCACATAGCTTATTTTTAGCAAATGGGTTCCACTACAAAACTAGAAACTTTCACTGTTTTTTTCATGACCCAGAAATTGAAAAACCCTAGAACCAAACCAAATCCAGGTTTTCTTGCTACTGATCACTTAAAATCCAGAACCCAACACAAAAGCCCCAAAATTTTCTCCCCAAATGGCACAAACCACACAAAAACCAAAGGAAAATATTAAAAAAAATTGTTCAATGCAATTGTCAGATCTTGAAAATTCCAACACTTGGGTCCTACAATTTCCCCTTAAACATGAATTAACTCCATATACTATACAATATAAAAACCCCCAAATGTTCAATTTCACATCCCAATCTAAAATTTTCCATAACAAAAACCAAAATTGAAGCATAATTCTCCCAAAAAACAATCTTTTTGTGATGAAATGATATAAGTATATATACATACCTCACGGATCAAAGCAAGACGCTTAGTCTCTTCTTCAACACGACCAAGCTGAGCTTGAACCCTTTCCCTAATCTCCATCTTCTTCTTCTCGATCTCTTCTTCTTTCGCTCTAAACGCAGATAACGCAGTCCTAGACATCTCCTCGTCTTCCTTCGACATTTGGCTGCTGAAACTCATACTTCCCGATAACTGAGCTCCCAATTGTCGGCTATGCACCGCCGGAGCCACCGTCGTCGACTGCGACGTCTCTATTGCCTGCATCTCCTTCATCTTCACTGAAATCTCCTCTCTTTGCCTCTCTCGTAATTGATCTCTCACTCTCTCTCTCTCTGGGTCTAGATTCTTCTGTGGTAGAGAAAATAGCTAACTGAGCTTTCTTTTTGAACCCAGAAATAGTGCTGTGATATGAACATTATATAAAGATAATTACTCATTTTCAGAAAAACAATTAAATGATATTTTAATTGTATAACGGGAACTTTTAATAAATAATTATAATATATCGAAACGTATATTAAAAAAAGATAACAGGCAAAAAAAAGAAAGTTATTAGGTGAAATTACCTAACTGCCACCAACAACCGATAAAAAGACACAGTGAGTGTTTTTTTTTTTATAAATTAAAAATAAAAGTAAGAAAAAGAAAATAAAAGGCGAGGAGAATCTGATTATTGTAACCGTTGGATCTCTTATTTATTCGATGAAGGAAGCGAAACGGGTGACCCGTAGAATCCGGTGACAGCTCGTTAACAACTCAGCTGTCGCGTCTAAACCGTAATTACCGAACCATACTAAACCGGTAATTTAATTCTGGTTTTCTATTGGTCCGTTAATATTTACCAAATTATCGTGATTTTTTGTTTTTCCCTCTGTTAATGACTTAAATGTATTCCAATTTCCATTGATGGTCACACTATTGAGTTGTTTTTCATTTATTAAAAATACATTACATAATTGTTGACAAAGAAAGAAACTATGGTCCACGGTGATATTGAAGAGAAATTGAGAATAAACTTGCTTGCCTTTGGGATAAGACCAAATCTACAATGAATGATCTTCTAATAACAAATATACATATGAGAATGTATCCAAATAGATTCCTTAGTATAAAGTTTAAACTATTTTACTAATTGTGATCCAACAGAAAAAAAAGGAGAGGTAAATCAAATGTTTTTCGACGTGTATCTTAAGGGCCGATCAAAGTGGTCAAATTTTTGATTTTGGTAAATTTAGAGGTAGCCAAGTAATGTTTTGCTAATTAATTTGTTATTCTCTTTCGAAAAAAAAAAAAGGTTATCAATAGGAAAAAGAGAGGAGAAACGTAAAAACGAAGGCAAAGAGCAGTAGCCCACTCAGCCAACGGCTTCAACTACGGGCCTTCGAAGCAAGAATCCTTCTTTTAATTTCTTTTTTTTTCTTCACTTTTTTCCTTTTCTCTCTTAATGGAATTTACTTTTATTTCAATGTATACTATAAATTATTCCTCTAAGCTAGCCATCATATCAACTCGATATATAAATAGTCACATTGTTTTAATGGTGGGGTTTTAAGTCTTGTCCTCATTAGGCAATTTGAATTTTGTTTGTCCCACAAATTAGTAATTAGTTAGTAGATATTCCAATTATTAAGAATTAATGGATGAACTTTTGCAAGGTTTTGTTGTTTTAATTAGAGTTAGAAAGATAGCTTACCTACTAATTGACATAAAACCATATATACTTTCACAAGTCTTTAATGTCTTATATATAGTCTAATAATTGAAATATGTTTTAAGTGTGAGTTAGTTAGTGTTATAGTACAGTTTGGTTAATTGAGCTTGACCTGATAAAATTTTGTTTCTAAACATGTTCGATGCAAACCCAAATCGTAGATTAGATGTTACGATGAGGATTGAGTCGATCAAAAACATAGAAAGAGGGTGATCCTTATACATAGTCGACGTGTGCCTCTCTGCCACAAAGGACCCACTAAACCGGTGTTTGTGTTATCGCGTGCATCAGATTATCATTTGGAGCCCATACTTTTTCTTTAAATATTCTTTTATGGATCCCAACTTGTCCTTGTTTTCTAAGTAAAATTAATATAGTATCAAAAACTAGAAAAATATGTTAACATTCGGAATATCTACAACGTAACAAGTGTAAAATAGTTTTTTTTTTGTGTGTGTGTTCAAGTAAGCGAAACAAAACTTAAATCGAGTAGTGTGTTGAAAGCGTTTGAAACCCAACGAATACGTCTTACATGCTTCACCATTTTAAACTTTACTTCTATATATTAATAAACTTTGCACAAAATTGTATTGATTCTTTTAATTTAATACTCTTGATTGTGATGATTATGAACGTGATTGAGGAAGAGGATATCGACTTTATACCTAATTGCCAGCATCAGCACTTAATTAGGATTTAATGGTCTCATGAAAAATGATTTGCTGTCTCTGATCAAACCTCATATTTTCCATTAAATCAATGGTATGTCGTATGTGTGTCTCCCTGTCCATGCCAGATAATTTTATTACGACTAGTAGTTAATGGTAATTATTACGGAATCTTTGTACTTTATGACGCACAAAATTTCATAAATGAAAAACGTTTGCCATTGTTATACGAGCTTATTCGAACCTTATATATAATTAATGAATTATGATATTCACTCCCTATGATACAAGAGTATGACCTAGCAATATTATTATTTTTAACTAAATGGACCCATCAATTTATTACCATTACATTTATGTAATAATTAGAATATTGTAAGGAATCAAATGTAAATACGTACAACGACAACAATGGTTTTGTAGGGGCCAGAATCTTTGGGGATGTCAGTTGGATTAGCGTAACTGCCAAAACACAAAGATACTTCCCATTCTTTCTTCTTCGTCCATATGAGACATATCATTGCGTTGTTTATTTTTCTTCGTTAATTACGATGATGGTAATTAATCATAGAGATGATCAGATGAATATTTCTAATAATACGGTGTGTTTAAAAATATACTTTTCAATAAATAAAATAACCTTTATATGTTGGTCAACAACTCTATATCATGGATCAACTATACTACGCATATTGTTTGGCACCAAAAAAATAATGACGTAACTTTTTGGATTACCTTCGGCGAATTGTTGCAGTTGACAATTTTTTTTTGTGTGTTGAAGTTGGACTCTAGATTCGAGTTTTTCTAGGATTAGAATTTCGACTATCCACAAACTATTTATCATGTACGTTGAGTCACTACCTAAAGCTTTCTATTGAAAAATCCACTCCTAAAAATCAGTGTACACTTGAATGACCCAAATGGACGTACGTAACTTTCTATTAATGTCAAAAATATGATCTGTTTTGACATAAACAAATAATAGTCAGAGAAAGAAGTGATCTAGTCTAGATGCTGTCTGGAAATTCTCTGGTGTTGTACCAAAAGAACTCTGGACATAATATTGTCGAAACTCGTAATTATGGAAATCTCATGTCAAACTATTATGTCACATATTTAAATGATACATATAAATATAATGTACACACTGAGATACACATTCCTTCAGCTGAACAACTAGATTCTGCGTCAACAACCATATTTTAACTGAAATATATACACAATCCAGCAAAATTGTTCAACTTTCACGTTACATACATGATAACAAAAACAATTTCTATATTTTATAAAAGTTCTTAGTTTTGTCAAGTTGGATGTTGCCATCTTTTTCGGGATACAGCAGAATGTCATCCTAGAAAATAAAGTTTCTAGTTCATTCGGAAAAAGAAAACTTATTGGTTTATCAACAAATAGAGTCGAATTTTGGTTATCCGCTTAGGCTTGGGAATTTTGTTCATATACCAAAAATCGATTCACGTGAACCAACCGAAGTAAACAGCTGTCATTGTTTTATACTGAAAATTAAGTAAGCATGTGTTTGCACATTCTGACAACTCCTTTTCTTATCTGTCCTTTTATGCCCTTTTATTGGGCCCATTTTTTGTTTTTTTTTCTTTCTAATAATTTTGATTAAAAATGGATTGTAGTTTTTTGGGCTTTTTTGAACAACCCAATAAATTTCGAGCCATATTAATATATCACTAGACGGCTTCATAAATCTGGGCTTATTGGATTTGCGAGGCTTAAAGTGTGGAAATAAGTTTGAAGATGTTCAGAGGCCCATTTATTTTCTTTGTAAGAAAAGTAAATTAAATAGCTGAAATTTAGTGCTAGCCTTACTACAATTATTTTGAAATCAAAATTTACTTTGGTACAATAGATAGATGAGAAAAACTTAACTAGACAAATTATCGGTGTCGCGGATAATCTTCTTGGAAGGAAGAACAATTGCTGCCACAGGTTTATCCGGGAATCCACCGCCTTCATCGATTATCAATCTCATGCCATCGATGTGAAGTTTTCCATGGTGCCCACTAACAACAACAGTATGTTTATCATCCAACTCCTGAAGAATGTTTCAGAGAAAAGAGACTTCAAAACTAAGCAAGATCTTAACACAAAGTTTGATTCTTTCGATGTCTTACCTGTGGGATGTCCCAAACATTTTTCCGACCACTTAGATGTTGTATTTTTGAGATGCTAGTGTCTTTAGCTCTCAAAAGCTTCAGTTGTTCTTCTACGTTATTCCCTTTCTCTAAACCAGCATGTACGGCGATCAACTTACAATGCTTAAGCCCTTCCTCGGTATCTATACAAACATCGTCCTGCAATCGAATCAACAAATGGACACATGATGGCTATTACTACACACTACACATTTTTCCTATGCATAAAGCTTAAAACAGACATCATTTGTTGGAATTAGCATGGCTATTACTTTCTAATGGGTTTTGTAAGTCTAAAGTTGAGTTTTTTAACCACTCAACTACTATTCCTACAAACATCACAGGGTAGCACGGTAGTAGAAAAGAGCCCGTACCTCTTCATGAACCCATACCATATTGGTCAAGAACTTCTTGTGACTCTCAGGTACTGCCTTCATCAAATCTATCCACAGCATAGATAACAAACAAGTATTAAAACAAGAATCATGAGAACATGTAACCTCCAAATCGAGAAAGATTCAAATGTTGGCCAACCGCATTGCTCTAAATTGAAATGTGAAACAGATTCAATCGTTGCCTGACCACCAAATTCATAACATTACTTGGAATGATAGCAAGAAGAAATTGAAATGTGTGCAGATTCAATCACAGCTTAAATCACCAAATTTCACAAACAACTTCAGCCAGTATACATTTCCCACCAAATGCAATAACTTATTATAACCTCTGAAGAATCCAAAACACAATGATTGAGAAATTTACCAGAAGATCCATGAGGAACACCATAAGATTCAAAAGTCGATCCAGCATCATAAATCGAACCCTTATAAGCCATCCCTTTTACAGAATTGAACGTAGCCTTAATTTTACCAGCCCATCTCCTACCTTGAAGATGCATATCCTCAAACCCTTCACCTCTATACCATCCTTCTCTCTCCTCACTACCCTCGTACTCCTTCCACGTATCCTTCAAATCAGACCCATCTGAAGGACGGGGCAACAAACCCAAGAACCCAGAGAAGGCGAAGTCGTGGTTCCCGGCGAGAAAGACGTGAGTTTGATCGGGATGTTTCTCCGGTAAAGAGATTAAGAAATCGATGACTTTTCGAGTCTCTGGTCCACGATCGCAGTAATCGCCGAGGAAGATGACGAGAGCTGAGCTGAATTCTGATGGGTCGATGGCGGATTGGAGATTAAGCCAGAGGTTATTGAGCTTCGATTTGTATCCATGGATGTCTCCGACGCAGATCACCGTTCGTGGTTTTTGCGCCATTTAGTCTCGGTGTTCTTGAAATGATGATAATGTACTTGTGGGCTTCGTGGGCCTTAGGCTATTTATATTATTTCGAAATAATATGATGTTTTTTTGGTCGTCTAGTATTTTTATCTCCTTTCTAATTTGGTGGTTCATAAGCTAACAGCATTGCAAAAATTTTTAGAAGTTTCAATCTTTTTTTTTTTTTTGGCATCAATCGTAATATAAAGACAGTTATGCTTCTAGCTTCTTCATTGGACCGACTTTGAGGCATAACTTTTTTTTTTTTTTTTTTCATCAAACACCATTTATATTAAGTTATCGGAAAGATAGACTCTCCGCTGGAGAGAGCCATTCAGGAACCGAGTTGCTTACATGGGAAAAGAGACTCTTCCGAGTCCGAGTCAGCATAACTTTTCTTCTCTTTCTGAAAAACACAAAAAGAAAATTTCTTCAGCAGATGTATGGAAAAAAAAAAAAATCTTCATGATATGCTTCTAGCTTCTTTTTTTTTTGATAAACTTGTAAATATCATTAAGAAATGAAATGTTCAGGCTTTACAAAAAGAGTTAGACCTATACTTTGCTACCTTGCCAAAAAATAAATAAAAAACAAGGTTGCATAAAGACAAATGAGAATTAAAATAATCCTCATTAGAGCCAAAGTTGCATCAGATTTGCAAACTTTCTACGATTTCTTCTTGCTGTGATAGAGTTACGCACTACACGATCAACTTCCCTGAAAACCGTCGAGGAAGGAATGACTAGCTGGTTGTGAAGAAGATTGTTTCTTTGCTTCTAGCTTCTTCTTCACGTCCCTAATTCATTAATCCTCTTACGTTTTCCGGATAATCACTGTAAAGATATTTTGTGTAAATAATATACATTCTTAAACGAAAAGTAACATGGTATAATTGAATGAGACGGTGACGTATATACATTATACAGGCAGTAATATTCGTGATTACAAATTCATAATTACGTACATCTCCTTCTTAATTAACTACCCACGCAATTCCATTCATGGCTAAAATAATGTGCTCTTCACCAAACGCTACTAACTTACAAATTTTATATAGACATCATCTCTTTTATTTTTTCTTTTCTTTTGATAAATGCTCTTCCCCTTTGTGGTATTGTTCTTAATCACAAAAATATCTTCAATGATTAAAACCCAATTCATTCCCCTTATTCCTTCCTTAATCGAACTAATGAGGTGGCTTATATAAATGTTATAATTAATGTGTATTAAAATTGTACCCTTTAATTCATGAATGTGATTTCTTTCTCTTCACGCAATCTCACATTGCTCTCTCTATATATAAACACACAAGCAACACAATCGATCACAAACAAACAAACAAAAAGAGCGAGAGAGAGAGATGGGGAAGGTGAGTTGGCTTCTTAAATTTCTGAACCATGCCAACAATCAAGAAAGTGTGGAGAATCTTGACAAAAACGGTGTCGTAAAGGCCTCAAGCAGTGGTTTTAAGATGCCGTTGCATTACCCAAGATACACAAAGGAGGATTACGAGGAGATGGAAGAGTGGAGATTGGATTTGCTTCTTTCAGACTATGGACTTCTTGCTTTCCATGACAATACTCTCCATGAGAAGCGAGCTTTTGCGATCGACACTTTTCTATGGCCTCATCACCCATAATTTCATCTCCTTCATTTATCTTCTTTATATTTCTTATGAATAACGGAGATTGTAGAGATACAAGATTGGAAGAGATGAACGAAACCGGGATACCAATCTACCGAAGATATATATCATAAGAAGATTTTAATGTATCTCTAGTTATTTGATTTCATATTCTCTTTAGTTTTCATTAGATCTATCTATGTTGTCTATATAAGTTTGGCTTTGGATTTTGCATATATGAATCTTCAATTCAATAAAATGTAGTTTTACCGCTTTCCATGATATCAAAGCCTTCATCCAAACTTCCGCAAATGAGATTGAGTCTAATTAATTATATTTCCTTGTCTGGTGTGTTGTTGGCTATTGTTAGAACTTAGAAGTTAAAAACAGAGAAAAATAAGAAGAAGAAGAAGGTGATGATCCAAAGTCATAATATAACATGGTTCATCTTCATCTCCACCCTTAATTTCTTGATCACGTTCGTTCTCGTCACTATGGTTGTCCGTGACTAAACAGTAAACACATATTTTTTTTTTTTTAATATTGGTTATGAACAGTTAAAATGTTTGCTTGCAATTTTTTCAACTATGTAGTAACCAAGTAAGTTCTAAAGTTGACATATTAAATATTCAGTATCTGAATATTGAGATTTGAGTGAATAACGCCAACAAAATTTTATATTCAGTATCTGACACGCTGAAACTACGATTAACTATATAAATAATTATTTAATTTAACGTTTGTACCAACTAATAGCTTGCATACACGTTTTAATGACAAACATTTTTGTTTTTTTGAGTAAAAATAATAATGGTGTTCGTCGTAATAGGAGAGGAAAGACAAAATCCAACGTGATATATACGTTTTTTCATGTTACTTAGTCAGCAGGTCGTTTCTTCGGATTATAATAGCTAATTAGGAATGTTAAAGGTGTGGTTTATATAATAGTCAAGTCTTTCCAATATGACTATTTTATCATCCCCAATACATAATAATCTTAATAAATGATTCTATATGCCTTAAACACGTTGAGTCAGATTGGTCAAATACAGACACCTAGACTCGAGAGCATCATCGTCCCTCCACTATATAAACCTCAAGTCAGTTTCCCAATAATATACCAAAAAAGAAACTGAGAAAGAAGTTTTATTCATTAATGGCGGAAGAGAAAAGCTACAAGTACGTGATCATTGGAGGTGGTGTAGCCGGCGTAAGTAAATGCATTTTTTCGATTTTTAACATTTTTTTTAGCAACAACGTTTCTTTTTATCGAATTTAACAAAATAACAACACTAATACAATCCAGTAAATTACATGTCTTAGTCCAACATTTTTATTTTTATCAACTCGCATTGTTTAGTTTGTAGGTGATGAGACTTTTTATTGTGTCCGTGGTTTGCTTACGAATTCCTTTCTCTAGATCTCTTTGATTTTGCTCCCACTTTTTCATGAAAATTCCTTGATGCCTATTAAACAAAACAAGACTGTTTATGCTTTGCTTCAATTAAATATTCGAGAGATTTTCATGTCACACAGACGAATCAGCATTTATAACAATTTGAATTGATTTTTTTTTGCTTGTTTTGGCATTCGAAATCACAGGGTTACGCGGCTAGAGAGTTTTCGAATCAGGGCCTGAAGCCTGGTGAACTCGCAATCATTTCCAAGGAACCAGTACGAATTTTTTTCCTTTTTGGGCGTTTGCATCTCACAATTTGGTGTTTTGCTTTTCCAAATACCACAACTTTTAACTTAAGATATCACGACTTATTTTTGTTTGCAAACATAAATACAAACGCAAAAGATAAAACTCTAGTTGCATTTGCGTCTAAAGTTGTATAAAAACTATTTTTAGAACGTTGAAATAATGTTGTTGATTAAAAAAAAAAAGTAGAAATAATGCCATCCTTAATATATGATTGTCTAGTCTGAAAATTGATGTTGAAGCCTCTAAAGTTTTTTGTGTGTGTGTGTCAATAGGTGCCTCCTTTTGAACGTCCTGAACTAACCAAGACATATATCGACCTCGAAGGTAAAGCTTTTAACTCTATAACATCCTGTCAACAGATAAATTTTAATAGCTACAGAATTTGGTTAATTTCGATCATCATTACAGTCAATCCGACCCTTGCAAATATCTATGTCTGTGCTGGAACTGGAGAAGCGAAGCAGTACCCTAACTGGTACAAAGAGAAAGGTAATGTTTTGTTTGTGTCTTCTCCAAGAAATCTCGGTGATTACACTCGCAATGTTTCTGATGATTCATTTAAATGTTACAGGGATTGATCTAATTGTGAGCACAGAGATAGTCAAAGCAGATCTTGCTTCGAAGACACTTGTTAGTGATGATGGAACAATTTACAAGTACCAAACTTTGCTAATTGCAACCGGTTCTACTGTGAGCACAATACTTATATATTATCCCTTCCTCTCTCTTTTTGTTCTAAGTTCCCTCGTGACTCATCTCGAGAACCCCTAATATTTTTTTGCAGAACATAAGATTGTCAGAAATTGGCGTCCAATTGCAAGAAGCAGATGTTAAAAATATATTCTACCTAAGAGAAATCGAGGATAGTGATGAGCTTTCGTTTGCTATGGAACTATATGTCCAAAGAGGAAAGGCTGTGGTTATTGGCGGCGGTTTCTTAGGGCTTGAGATAAGTTCAGCTCTAAGGGCTAATAATCATGAAGTCACCATGGTTTTTCCAGAACCTTGGCTTAGTAAGTTGATGCTTAACAAAAACATTTTAGCTAAATAATTACTCTGTTTTATTAACATATTTTCCTCTGTTTTATCATTGTATAGTACACCGGTTTTTCACCGCTGAGATAGCTTCTTTCTATGAGGGTTACTGTGCCAACAAGGGAATCAAAATCATCAAGGGAACTGTAGCTACTGGATTTAGCACCAACTCGGATGGAGAGGTCACGGAGGTGAAACTAGAGGATGGAAGAACCCTAGAAGCTAACATAGTGGTCGCCGGTGTCGGTGCTAGACCGGTCACCTCACTCTTCAAAGGCCAAGTTGAAGAGGAAAAGGGTGGAATAAAGGTTTGTGATTAACCCTACCGGAGAAAAACAGAGCTCTTGTTAATTACCATTATAAGTGATTAATGATTAGTCGTTTTGATTGTAGACTGATGGGTTCTTCAAAACAAGTGTCCCTGATGTATACGCACTTGGAGATGTAGCCACATTTCCCATGAAAATGTATGGCGGGATGAGGCGTGTTGAACACGCCGACAATGCTCGCAAATCTGCTGCACAAGCAGTCAAAGTACGAGCCTTACTAGCTTGATTCAATAATTGAATATACCAAACTCTTCTGAGCTAACGATCTTATATTAATGATGTCTATATCTATATGATATTTGCAGGCAATCAAAGCGGCTGAAGAAGGGAAAAAGATCCCAGATTATGATTATCTTCCCTATTTCTACTCTCGGTTTTTTGATCTATCGTGGGTATTCTATGGGGACAACGTTGGAGAATCTGTACTGTTTGGAGATAATGACCCGAAATCTCCCAAGCCGAAGTTTGGGACGTATTGGGTTAAAGATGGGAAAGTAGTAGGAGTGTTTCTAGAAGGAGGAACTCAAGAGGAACACAAGGCTATTGCTAAAGTGGCACGAGCACAACCTTCCGTTGAGAGTCTTGACGTGTTATCAGAGGAAGGCCTTTCTTTCGCCACCAATAACTATAGCACCTCTCTTTGAGACATTGGGTCTTGTTTTTGGGTATAAGTCGCATTGATTGATGTAATAATCTCCTTTGTCCTTGATTTCATATCGAGCCCCTATTATATTTGGCAAAATAAATTAAATATAATCATGCATTTTTTTTTTGTTTGCTAAACAATTTGATTTTAACTTTTAAGTTCTTACATTCGTTATGAGTATATGAACACTTGGCATTTTTTATGCTTTTGAGTTTTGATGGAAATTTGAGTCAGACCAAAATTGTAACATTTTAAAAAAGTAAAACACAACTTAAACTTTATTTTTTTTGAGAATCAATTTAAAACATGATTAGCGAGATTTTGAGTCAACTATCAATTACCTCATAACTCAACTTAAATGTAATTAGTGATAACACATCAAATCACACCCTATAAATATATATATATATATATATATATTTTTTTTCACACCAAATCACACCCTATATTTGCTAAAACTCTCTTTTTTTTTTAACAGAATCGTGTCTCACGAGATGCCTTCTCGAATTATCACATGTCACAGAAGTCGACAAAACAATCTCAATCTTCGAAACCCTAATCTCCTTCTTTCCCATGAAATTGCTCATCTCTCCAAGCCCCACGAATCTCAAAAACCCTCAGAAAGATCTCCACTTTCAATCCTTCCTCTGTCAAAACCCTAGTCACGTAGACATTCGTCACTGTCCTGTAAAAAACAGCCAACGATTCGCCCGTCTCCTCTGTTGATTTCACTATCGGTTTATGCATCGATGGTTAGTTTAGCCCATCGGCCCCTTCCCCTAGCGCCGCCTTAGAAGCTCATGTTGATGTCGTAGTAGGTGAGACTCGGGTGAATCGCGCTCTACTAGGGTTTCTTTGAGCCGATTCGGAACCTAGCTTTGCTTCGACCCCCTTTGATTCTCATTGGAGTAACTGTAAAAGAAACTTTTTTATGAAGCTTGCCCTTTTTGATTAAAGTTGTTGTTTGTGTAGGATAGAGATAAAGAATTGGAACTTGGTGTTGGTTTCTGACATAGAACATCAAGTGGGGTTTGTTGATTTCGTTGCAAGACTTATAAAAAGTGGAACTCAGTGTTGTTTTCTATGTTGCATCGAGTCTAAAAACACTGACAAATTTCATTCTCTGAGTTTATTAGTCATATAAGTCTCAAGCTATCAATTCAAGAACAGCTTGTGATTCAACAAGATCAACTGAAGATAGTAAGATTTCATATTTTTATAATCATTGATTTTTATCCATGAATTCAACGATCCGTATAATATCCACCAGTTGCTTGTGTTGAGACTCGAACCAGTGGGCTTGACTTGTGAAACTCTCTGTACTACAAAGACAAGCCGAGACAAATGTTACAAAACAAATCTGAGTGAAGATATAAAAACATCAAAAAGAAGAACATATAATTAGTCTTACTCCTAAATCCAAACGTCTTTTAGAGTTTTGTGTAAAACTGAGTAAACTGATCTCCATCCTTCTTCAGTCGGATGAAAGATGTCCCAAAAGAAGGCAGCCTTTGGATCTTCACAAATTGTGTACTTCTTCTCACCCTTCTCGTCCACGTTTGAGCAGTCGAAATTGCTGTTGACCCCGACACAACACGGTTTCAACGGGTTCCCAAACCTCATAACACCTGAGAGATTCACAAACCTCCTAAGATATGGGGATCACAAACATTCACAAACATTTTAGGATCCAAAATTTCAATTTTTCTTTTTGGATTTACCGGGTTCCGGTCCTTTGTTCTTGAAAACGGTCAAGAAGGCGTTGTAATGATCAAGAACGACGAAAGTGGATGGCTTTGTCTCATTGTTAAGCCTGGCGACGGCTTTATGCAACAAATAGTTGTGAAGTTTGGTTGATGTGTTGTCTGTGGCGTTGCAACGTTGGAATGAAGTAAAGACTGTAACGCTAGGGAGGCATCCGAGTGGCTGCATTGAAGGAATCAATATCTTATTCACTCCCAACTTGTGGATGCGCATCGCATTTACCGCAATTTGATCAACAACTTGCTTCATGAATGCCGGTAACTCCTGCAAGATACAATTTGGGTTTATGTTTACAAAAAAAGTGCGCACAAATTATGATATTTACTTACGGTCAGTGGGCGTTTTAGGGCCAAGAAAGAGGCGTAGTCGTTGCCGGCAACGCTGACGAGAGCGATGGAGGAGGGGAGGTCGGAGGGAGAGTAGATATTGCCGGCGGTGAGGACGCGTTGGAAATAATCAATCTGAGTTGTCATGTTTGGCAATGGATTATCTTTAGTCTTAAACACTCCTGTTCCTCCATACGCATAATTCATTCCATACAATAGCCGTTCCTTTCCCGCGTAATTCTTCCAAGTGTACGGAATTGGTGACTTTATCCCCAAGTATCTTGCTGCACACATGCATCAAAAGATTGGTGTAAAAATTGAACCAAAACTTTATAAATGGTTCGAAAGTAATAATCGAAATATGTAAATAAAATGTGCAGATTATAGATTACGCAGGATCAGGATTATCCCACCATATTTGCAAGCCATTTGATCTTTCGGAGATGATAGTTAAATTAAAGTAATTACTTGATTTTTTTTCTTTTTGATCTTAAAGTTTAATTAATGTGACTCAAAGATGCAATTAAAAAAAAAAAAACTCAGAATCTTCAAAATAAATTGAGCAGTTACTAATCTTTTTAACTTTACTAATCTAAGACAAAATCAGACTTATATCAAAATTTCAATGAGTTTTCTAATATTTCCACGTCAGCATTATGGTCGACTCATACGTTTTCCTTTTTCGATAATTAGGACGTTAATCTACGTAACCTAACAAAACAGTATGGCCGGAGCCCATAATGTACGGTTTGTTAGTGTTGGTGTTGAATTTGGTGACCAATCACCATCCATATCCTCATTTATTGTGACAAAAAAAAGGGTGTGAGAGAGAAAACCTAGAAAATCTGTGGCGACGCGGCCATCGGAGAAACGACCGGAGGGTTTTTGGGGGAAAGTGATGCCGTAAGGAATTTTCCAAGAATCGGAGAGAGACTTCCTTATGTTTCCGGTGTCTGCATAGGAATCTCCAAACACGAATAGTCTATTCGGTCTCAGTCTCTTCACGTTACTATGCTGAAGATGATCCGATTCAGCACCTTCAAAATATTAATCATTAGTAATGGGTTTCAGAGAATCCATTTATGTGATTAAGAGCTTTTTAGATGAATATGAGTATAGTTACCTAAGCAGAAAGATATGAATGAGATGAGAAAGAGACAGATTAATAGTCTTAGTGACTCCATTGTTGTTGGTGTATTGAGGTATCAGATTCAGACCAAAATACTTGTGTGTGTGTGTGCTTTGTGTGTTAAAAGTACGAAACGTGGAGCGAAAAGAGGAGGAAGAAGAAGTATATATGTGGTGGGGATAAGTTTAAGGAGAGACCTTTGTGAATTTTATATTTTTATCACTTATACATTGTCTATTTGGCTTTGTAGGGGCAATTACAGAAGAGATTTAAAAAGGAAACGTTGAACAACGAAGATTTGGTCAACTTTAGGGTTCATAATCATATAATGCCACCAACAAAAATTATTTCACATATATTAGTGAAATCGGGAAAGCCAAAATAAAAATTTCCAGTTTTTAAATTTTGCATAATATAAAACTCATAATGTTAACGAATTGAAATATTATTAGCTTTTTAATCAGAAAATGATTGAGACCATAAATGGACCGCACGTCTAGATGTAGTGCCCTTCCACACATATAACATAATCTCCTCCTCAACCAAAAAGTCTAAATTCATATTATATATACACCAAGCCTTTCTTACATCAAAGAGCATAATCTGAAAATCATTGAATCCAAAAAAGTCGATAGAAGTCGATCGTCATGGCGCAGAGGATCACGACATTGGTTCTGCTAATAGAGATATTGTTTCTGGTGAGTTGTGTGACTCATACAGCAGCGTATAACGATGGAGAGGTGATTCACGTCGCCGGAAAAGTAATGTGCCAAGATTGTTCTCTCAACTACGACGAATGGATAAATGGTTCTGAACCCATCAAAGGTATCCAATAATTTCATACAAAAAAAAAAAGGTATCCAATAATTTCCTGTATTTTAGAAAGAGTTTGATTACAAATGAAATTTTTTGTATTCCCTAATAAGTAATTAATATGAAAATAAAAACCAAAAAAATTACGCGCCAGATAAAATAAAATTGATCTCTTAGCTATTCGTTTTTTTTTTTTTTTTTTTTTTTTGCTATTGTGCAAACTGTGAGAAAACTCTCAAAACCGGATTTAATTAACCAAATAATTCCACTCTGTATCTTTCAGGGGCAGTGGTATCAATCACGTGTATGGACGAAAGGAGAAGAGTGGGATACTATGGCAGCGACAAGACCGATGAGAGAGGCCAGTTCGATCTAATCGTCAACAAATTCCTCTACAACGGAAAGGATCTCAAACCTCAACTTTGTAATGTCCGGCTCGTGTCTTCTCCGGACCAGTCATGTAACATTCCCACCAATTTCGGGGATGGTCAAACCGGAGTGAAGCTAGTTCGACCATTCAGTGTTTTCAAGGATCTGGTTAAGTATGTGGTCGGACCATTTTATTATACCACTCCCATGTGTGAGACGCCTAAATTTGAAAACAACTACTAAACTCGGAGGGTTTTGACTTATTGGCCGATCGAGGTCATTTAAATTTAGTGGTCCTTCGCTAAACAATATATTTGTAATGTAACATGTTATTGTTTCCGTGTATTTGTTAATTATCTTGTATATGTCAGAGTATAACAAAAAAAAAAAGAACACATAAACTTCAATTACAATATATCTATTCCCATGTGATAGTCCTCTTCCAATTAAGTGAGTTCCTTCTAATAAATTATCATTTTAACAGCACCAAAGGTAATAACTTGGAACAAACAGCTGAAAATTGTTGTTGAATGTAATATGAATATCCTTGAAAAGAACACGAAAATCGAAAGGTGACAAATGCTTTTTTTTTTTCAACAACTCATAAACGTAATATATCTCAAAAAAAAAAAAAGAAGGAAAAGGAAATCACTATAAAGAGATTCGGAAACAAATTTTGACATAATATGCACATCTTTGGTCTGAGTACTATTCTGAGTATTGTACTTATTAGATACTAAATGAAAAACAAAATCTCAATAGAACTACTCTAGTTTTATTTCTCAAATCCAAATATTCTTTTTATTCCTCACACAAAGAACATACAACGGGAGTGAATACAACTCAAACATAATGATGATAAACAAAACATAGAGAAGAGAGAGTACTATTACATAATTAGAGATACATAATCTGCTGATTCCGAGGGGAACCGAAGCTTGCCAAAGGATAGAAGTTGCCCAATTTCTAGAGAGAGATAAACAAAACTCGCAGTCTGAATCAGCCTTCTGCAATCTTCATTGCTCCATATCTTAAAACACTTTCCTTACATGAACACAAAGCCCCTGAATTGGAGAGTTTTCATTTTGTATTTAGGCCATCCCCTAAAGATGAACAACCTCTAGATAAGTTAAGAGGTTTTCATTCTTCTTCACCTAGGGGATGGCCATTTTTTCTTTTGTTTATGTGGTGTTTTGCCAAGTTAAGAGAGGGTTCAACAATGGAGGCTTGCTAGGCCGTTTTATAGCTTTTATTTATTTTCTTTTTCGTTTTTTTTTGTTGTCTATGGTCATGAAGACATTTAAAAAGATACATTGAACCCCATATTACATAAATATAGTGTTCTTTCCACCTTTTCTCATTTCTTTTTCATAAATAACTAACTTTTTGTGCCAATATATTTCATGTTTGTTAAGGTTTTTTTCTAAATGATTTTTTGGTATATTTTTAATAGATCGTAAATGATATTATGTTCTGGTATCATATACACGTTACACGTACTAATCTTGTATTTAACATTTTTGCATACTGAAATACAAAATAAATGAAAATTCACCAATGTACAAGTTTATTATAACAGTAAGCTCTGGAAAAAAAAGAAAGACAAAGAGAAGGAAGAAGAGTAAACATATTATTGGTGTAAAGGGGAATAAATATATATAGATATGGTGTAAAGAGAGTTTGAAAGTAATTTTAAAATATAAATGTTTACAAGTAGTGGAAGCAGATGATGGAAACAAGGGGGAGTCTTACGTGAATATGCTTTGGAGAATTTTGGATCATACGATGGAATATGCCGTTATTAAAATTGCCTTTTCGGTTTTCACAGACATACACGATCATCTGATGACATACACAAAAGTTAAATTATTTATTTTAACAATACTTAGTCAGGTATATATAAAACCTGAGCTGTCAGGAACATTCAGAACTTTTGTATTTAGATTGAAAGATTTGTAAAAAAATAAAGTATTAATTATTGTGTGAATTTGGTTTTACTGAAATATACGAATATACAAAGATTTTTTTTCTTTGAAATATATTCATGTTAATAATAACTTGATCATCAAATTGGGGAAAATTCTTATAAGAAAAAATTTGGGTCCCAACGTATTTGTCGGTTTAAAAGTAAGATATTTAAAAACAAAATTAGACGCATTACGTTTATCTTTTTTTCTGGAAATTAACGATTGATCACCTAATCAACAAGCTTAGTGTTTTTATAATTAAAGATACATCTCGTGTCTATATATAAACACTCTCAGTATATAGACACGAAAGTGTGATGTATTCATATACTGATGTAAAATTCAAGAAATCTAATGGTTTTCTCTTACTGATTCAATTCAGTTGTTTTATTTGGTTGTGAATTTGTGATAATGGTGCTCCTAGAGGATCCACCTAGTTTAATAACCAAAAAAAAGAAATGGATTTAGCTAGTGATGGGCTCCTCAACTTATACAATCAATATTAGCCCAAATCGTCAAATTCTAAAAAAAAAAAGAAAAAAGGGGTTAACAAATGTCTCTACATACTGTATATATATTTATCTTAGTCAAGCAACCGGATTATCAATATCTGTTACTATGTTGCCAAAGCACTCTCATTCTTGGAATCCCTAATCTTGAGTGCCATCTATGGAGATGAGGCTGTAAATTCTTTGGAGCAGATTGTTGTGTTGCAGAGCTTGATTTGGTACATGCATGCTCTGTTTCAGATTGTGACTAGAGCAACCATATTTTGACGGGAAAGGTGACCTAATGGGGCAAGTAATGATCGTGGGTGCATAGGAAAAGAGCATTAAAATGGTGGGAGACCGAACCGTTGTCAAACAATGAGCGTTGACACAACTCTTACTCTCTTCCAATCCTCAATAGTTAATTTGATTAGATTTTTGCTGCGTGCACATCACGATCCCCATACATAACTGATGCATGTGTGAGGAAAAGAAAAGTAATGTTCAAGTTTAGTTTTGCTGACCAATTCTCTTAGATCAAGTTAAACCGGAACCTAGTGGGGAAAAGAAACCGGTTTAGTAACTGTTATGTGTGTTATTTATGCTTGAAGTTCAAAATATTTTGTTAAAAAGTCAAGAGTGGAAGCAAAAGTTCCAAAACAAAAACTATACTGAATTAAACCATGTAAATTCACTGGAAACCGCTCGATAATAGTTTTGATCGCAAGCCTATAATACATTCACTGGAAACCGCTCGATAATAGTTTTGATCGCAAGCCTTCATTATTTGATATTGTAAGTTTGTAACAATTGGATTGGACCGATTGGTTTACAATATTTGAAAACGCTAATAGTTGGGCTTTAAAATCTCTCAATGGTCTATTTGGGCTTCTGAAGCCCAAAGTTAACAGTTAATCAATAATCTAGAAGTTACTATTTAATTTTAATTCACCGAGTCACGGATTCTGGATTGAAAGTGACAGGAGAAGACATGCATGATCAAAAGTTTTGTACGATGTTTTGAAATGAAAAGAATGATGTTCTGTCAATCTGTCTCTTCAATACTACTCTTTGTCCTCCAATCACTACACAGCTTAATGGGTTTGCTTCTTTTTTTTTTTTTTTCATGTTAAGATTTAACTATTTTTTTTGTCAGTATCGTAATATGTAGATTTAAATGGTGACATAATTAATTAACATAAATAACTAGACTACAAATTCTGATCATTTATTTTTAAATTCATCAAATACATTTTAAAAACATTGAAGGCTAATTTTTCAACCAATTAGAATCATTGAAAGTTCACTTTCGTTATGTTATCAAAAAATTTTACTTTGGAAATGCGATGAAACTTTGCACTTACTTACTAGAATTGCAACGTTTCTAATTTTTGATTTTTTTACATCAAAATTTTCTAGAAAACTAATTTAGTGATTTCACATTTTGTACATACTAATATTTGAAATGAAATATTACTATCTTTGTCGTAATTTTGAAAGTTAAATTTAGAGTTTATGGTATTTTCTTTTTAAAGTTTGGCCATATGAAAAACTTTTATAACTTTTATATGTGGCATAAGAATTTGCTTTTGTTTTTCATTTGAGACATTCATTAGCGTAAAGTGGGGCATCCTTTTTAATATGATCATTATTAAGTCCTTTAGTTTTATTTTATAAATTGATTATAATCAAAACCTATATATATATACTGCCATTGATATGGTGAATGAACCAAGCATGCAACCACTAATTAGAATTTAGAAGAAGACATTGACATTAGGCCTTAGAAAATATTATATTAAGGTCCATTAGGACATAAAACAAGATTATCACTAAGCACTTTGGTCATAATCCACATTAAAATCTAACGCTATGATATTGTAATCTATAGTTAACAAAGTTATCTACCAATATTTGAATATGGTTAGATATTGATGTCTTAAAAATATACTTTAATTCCCACAAGAGATTTATAAGAATAATATATGTGATCTATCAAAAAGAAATCTATAGATAATATTTGTGCTAGATTTCAAATCCACGAAAAGAGTTTTTTTTTTTTTTTTTGAAAAAGCATCCACGAAAAGAGTTCATCAAATTTTAAACCAATAAATGATACTGTGACCCGATTTATTATCAGTTGAGCTAGGTGTATGAACGTTTAGTTAAATAATAATAAGTGTTAATTTTGTAAAATTCATGGATTTGTAACTTTCTATCGGTTTGCAGGAAACGGTACTTGTCATTTTCAATACTTGGTAGGGACTTATCGTATGACTCTTTAAATTGGGGAGCACCACATGCAATTTGACCGAGACTAATCATGAGCGTGGTATATTTATGAACAAAATATAAAATACAACATTTTAATACTTTATACGAAATAAAAGGTGAGAATTGTATTTATTTGATGTAACTTATTTTATGTCAAAAAATCATCTCGTAGTCAAACAGTCACTAATCAACTTTTTTTTTTTTTTTTTTTTTTTTTTTTTTTTAATATCGTCGACATAACCCATTCTTTTTGTCATTGCATGAAGAATGCAATGGACGTGACTAGACCTAACGCAAATCTCTAAATTAAATACCAGTAATAAAATATTAGCCACGCAACAAAGCAAAAATTAGTCTAGAATTGTACGTGATGCATACAAATGTGACATCAATCATGGGTCCAACAAACTTATATTAGATTAATTATTTTTTTTTTTGTGTGAAACATATTAGATTAATTCTATAAGACTAATTCTAAAGCTTGGTAAACAGCTATATGTATTTATTAAATATATCGATATATCAAGACAAATGGTGGTTATTATTGAATAATTACAATAATTTTTCTAGTCAAACAAATGTATGAAACAGTTTAGTCGGCAACTAGCAAGAGAAGAAATTTCCACCTTTTAAAAGAAGAGTACCTCCCAACAGTTATATGAATTAAATTTCAAAGCAAAAAAGACAGTTATATATATGAATTTTGTTCATAGTCCATGAATATGGAAACTTTGTTCTCTGATGGTAGCTAAAA